TCATACTTCAGTCTGTGATACTTATTTAATTGATTTTAACACGAGTACAAATACTGTTAAACAGAGAATTAATGAATATTTTAAAAGAAATAGATTATGGAGAGAATAACAAATTTTATGCAAATCAACCAATATAATATAATGTAAATATATAAAAGAATATTTATATCAAATAAACCACCTCTGGCGAAGAAACGCTGTATGGTGCAGAATTATTATTATTATTAAGAAAAATCAAAAAGTGACACAAGAAGAAAAAGAAAAGTTGGCCGAATATGTGAAAGCGGAAGAAATTATTTACAACCTCCAACACAAGCTGCACTCAAACAATGCAGCGTTGTCAATGGCTTGGCAACGGGTGGCAAACAAAATGAACAAAAGTGGTAATTACATTTTCTATATGGTGATACTTTACTCAAATTATTTGGATTTGAATTATATTTTGATTGGTTCAATTTATGGTGATTTTTTTCAGTGACCGAATGCAAAACGATATATAAGAGCCTACGCGATGCACTTCGGTACAAGCGGAAAAAGATTACGGGAAAGTCGGGCGATAGTGGTGAAGAAATGCAGGTGGATGAAACAAGCAAGGACGCCAGTGACTCGATGGATTTTTTGTCTTTCTTGACACCAACATCATCACGTTTTCCCCGAAAAACACTTGTGATGGGTGCGGAAACAGGAGAAGAAGCATCAGCTGCATCCAGTCAACAATCGTTCCCGAATCCGCTGGAAGAAGACATCAATTACGATCGCGAGCACAACCCATTCCGTCCGCCTGAAGACGATTCAAGTGCTTCCGTTTATTCATTTGTGAGCATTTTATTTCATTTTCCGTTCAATACTTTCATTCAATTCATTTTTAAATTTTCGTTTTTTATTTCCATTCAGGTATCGAAGAAAAAGAAGGCACCCGATTTGGTGGAAACGTCTATGTTCGAAATGGCCAAAAGTCTAACAACTTTCGTCGGACAAAAGAAAGCTGAAAAGCCTGGATTAAAGTTCGCCTACATTTGGAACAATCTGGATAACTTGTTCCAACAAATGACGAAAGACGAAGTAAACGAGTTGAATTTGAAGTTCATAACTCTCGCTTTCGAGAAAATCAACAAACACTAAAATGTGCTGTTTCCATCAATATCTTTATTTCTCTTTGTGTTTTTTTTGTTCAATTTTTCAATTGCTATAAAAAAGATTAAAGTTGAAAAGGTCAATTTAAATAAAATTTTGGTGTGACCGTGGACGAATCATATATGCATTAATGAATTGAACTAAAATCTCTTTGTTGAAGTATATGAAATAAATCGAAAACAGCCAAATAAAATTCTATTGTTTAAATTTGTATGATTTCAACATTTTCAGAGGTTTTAACCAAAGTTTGATATTGCAAACACACTTCATTCGAAAGAAATCACGATGTGACTACTGAAAGGTATGAATTGGAGAAGAAACAAAGACAAGTATTGAACAGATTTATGTGTTGAGTGAAACTATCTTCCAATTATTATGAAAACATTTCAACTAAATTTATTGAATTTCTTAGTCGTTTTTTCAATACATTTGTATTCTTTTTCTAATTTTAACGGATTTTCATTCCAAAAAAACTGCTCTTCTTTGCCATTCAAGAGAGCCTTCTGGGGAGTTGACAAACTCTTTGAAAATGTTTCGAACGTTCTTTGCGCTTTCACTTGTTCTTGTTTTTCTTAGTGGAGCTGTGTTTAAATGTGTCATATCTTTTACATTTGTTCGCCAATTTCCTTCAACCAGGTGTCCGTTTGCGTCGTAATAGTCAGTAAAATGAGGTGAGCAGTAAGATCCTCTCAGATTTTTTAAAAAATAATTATGTAAAATACAGCACGCTGCTACAATTTTTTGTGCACGCTCTGGAGAACAGAGTAATGGGCGAGCAAGACAAATAAATTTGGAAACGAGAATTCCAAAAGCATTTTCAACACAACGGCGCGCTCTACTTAATCTGTAATTGAAAATCTTTTCTGATTCGCTGAGTGCACCAGCACCTCTTGGTGGAGTAAAAGGTTTCATGATGCGATTTGTCAGTGGAAAAGCGTCGTCGCCAACAAACACAAAGGGCATGCTAACGGATCCGATGCTCGTATTTTCAGGCAGTTCAATTGTATTCAGTACGATGCTTTTGCCAAAGTCACTATTCAAAAAGACGGACGCATCGCCTTCGAAGCCATATGCACCAACATCGATGTATAAGAACTTATACTCTGCATCAGCGACGGCCATCAATACAATGCTGTGGAATTTCTGTATATGGAAACATGAATCAATATATATGTTCAAAGTGCATAGAACGAAGATGATTGAAAAAAGATCAAAAATAATGACCCAGCGTTCGGTGGACACTTTATTGCGATGTGCTTCCCGTCAATAGCGCCAACACAGTTCGGAAAATCCCATTTGCAATTGAATGTATTCGAAATTTGTAGCCATTGTTCCTTATTCAGTTTTGGCATTTCATTGCCCATTTCCATACATATGGAAGTACAGACTTGATCAACTATTTTACCAAAGGCTTGCTTGCTGACACGATAGTTAGATGCGATATGTCTTTGTAACGAGCCACATGCCAAATATCTGCGAAATTAATTGACGCCATTAACAATATTGCAAATAGAAAATTATCGTTGAAGAATTTCTCACTCTAACACCATTGCCAATTTTGCTCTCGGTGGTATTATGTCTTGTCTAACGTATCTAGCCGGTTGCAAATGCTGCTCAATCTTATTGAAAATGTCATCGAAATGTTGGTTGGTCATGTGAAAATTTTCACGAAAACTTGGTGGGAAGCTTTTTATGTCAGCAAACTAGAACAAATTGCATAAAAATGGCTCTAAATTGGTTTCTTTGAGCAACTGAATAAAAATACTCCTTACATCATTATACCGTCCGCGAAAATCACGTCCTTTCAAATATGGATTGACCCAACAACGTCGCTTATTTTTCCTACGTTTTAAGCAGATCGCGGCCATCAGTAGAAAAGATGCCGTCCCGATGATAAATAGATCATCGTCCATTTTCGTTGAACTTTGCTTTCAGAAAAAACTTTGAAAGTGACACAAAGCAATCCAACACAAAAGATTTTTGAACAGCTACTTCAAA